AGATGATTGATTGCAACTCCCACGAGATCAGTCAAACGCTTGCCATATGACAGCGAGATTCAAATCAACCTTATAAGTCTAACAAATGACTTATGCTAAATTAGCTTGGATATTGCGAATTAGCCATGAACAAATAATTTTTCTATGCAAATCTTCTATTATGCAAACTTCAAGACGATAATCTATATCATTCACCGGATGTGAAAGTTGATAGAAGAGAAAAGATCCAAATTTGTGCGTTCTTCCAACAGGAGTAATGTCTCCAAATTGAATTTTATTTTCAGCAATCACTTTACAGATGTGTTCGAGCTGCCTAAATAAAAAGCAGCTTACGAGAAACAAAATGTTCTCTCTACTTTCTATCTTCCTCCTCATCAATCATTACATAATCTGTTAAAGGAACTCAGTACTTACTGTGGTGTTTTGAACAAAGAGTCGTGCTCATCAGAGTCAGTTTCTAAATGCAAGAATATAAGCCCATTGCTTTGAGAACTGATTCTAAAAAAAACATACTTTTGACTTTATCAGGCACCAAGTATCCCCAGCCATGCGATCGCGATCTATGCAGGGGATATGGACCATATGTCATTCATAAAAAATGTTAAGATTTTGCAGAACTCCAAGCAAAATAAACTCATGACTCACCAAAAATTAATGGAGCAAGAGTGCTTTTCATAATAACATCTTCACATGATAACGAGGTAAAGTCAAGATATACATTTCCACGTTTGGAAAATAGTTTGTAGAACCACCTAGAACAGCTTTTGTTGAGACCCTCAACCAGATCCAAGCATCACATACTCTGGGAATTCTTTGTTGCCCTTGTAGGACCAATCAGCATCAAACAGCCATGCATCCATAACAACTCCATCAGAATTCGGTTTGAGAATAGTCATGATATCCTTAGCAGATGCAATCAAAGCACGAGCACCAGCCTCCTTTGTCTCATCACTAATCTTCTCATTTTTCTGTTAGTACATGTAATATACAAAATAGAGTGTAATTCTCATCAACTACTTACCTTGAAGAAACGCTCCCAGTTCTCATTGATGGGTAGGTATGCATTTCCTATGTTGAGTATCCCATACAACGTTGCAGGATGAGGGAACCTAAGCAAATGAGGTAACTTAATGATTGAAGAGCTGCTCTTGACTATAGATAAATGAGATGAGAAAAAGCATTTGGATATTTTTGGAGGAAATAATGCATACACCGATTTGGCGACTAACTTTTTGCAAAGGTATCTCATCACATCGTGTGATGCGTAGGTGTATGGGTACGCGTGTATGTATGTGCGTATATGTGTAGTGAGATGGTCCTTATCGTGATTTGCAGTGGGTGTTAAGTGATTTCGTAAATTGTGCCTATTATGTGGGATCTAATGCATTTCTTGCTGATATGCCAGACGAGCTGTGATAGTCTCATCGAAAGAGAAGAGGTGCACTGTGACAAACAATCATAGCCGTTATTCAAACCTTTTCTGGAACTCCGGCCACAATTTTTTGAAAATTTGAGAACATATAAGATTGTCATCTGCACAGTAGTTAACCAAGACCTGCAAAAAAATTCATTGGCAATGAATACATATATTTTGACATAGTGATAGAACCTGAAAATTTTCTCGCACGCTGTTCAAATCCTCCTTAACAAAAAATTCTTGATATTTCTTCGCTTCCTTTGTTATGCGATACTCGTCACGGTAGAGATGCTGATGAACAGCCAGCAATGAGTTGCGACAAACCCGATCATCCCAAGCATCTCTCCAACGTTCGGAACGTTTTTCCTATACCTCATCAATGTACAAGATACATTATAGATTCAAGCCATTGTCAGTGTTTAAATACTGTATAGTGACTTTCCTGAGAAACTTACCCTAAGATTGTAATCGGAATCATCTGTTTCATATGTGGCGACTTGGTGATCAGCCATACCAAACATAGGAATTGCCATCGACATAGTGTCCATAA